TTCGTGGGTGTCGCCAAAAGGCCGGTTGCTTCGAAGAAGGCAAGCGCTCTCCCACTCGTCATTTTTCAGAATCCTCCCAACGTTAAGACGTGAAGGGGGGACCACTCGCGCACGGCCCCCCTGCCTTGCAGTGCCGTGGGTTGGAACGCGCCGCCCGCCAGCGCGCGGCCGGCGCGTTCTTTGTCTGGGGCTCTGTTTGTCCTACGGCCCTCGCGGGTCGCCAATCCTTCCGTGGACGTTGACCTCGTGGGTCGTCATGGCCGACCCTTGGCATTGGACTAGAGCGAGGGGAAGCCGGACCTGAAGGCCGGGCTGGGCTTCCCCGTAGGTTAGGTTGGAGACACGGGACGCTTGCTTTGCTAAAGGCTGCGCCCGTCCACGGCTGTGACGGTTCTGCTCTGTAAATTCATGAAAGGGCTCCGGTCTCCGCTACTGCCAAGCTTGCTTGCTTAAGCGTTAGGTTCATACAAACATACCGTACCTTTTAGTAATTAAAACTTAACGAAACAAAAAAGAAAAAAATGAGAAGGTTTACGAAGTAATTATTCCCTGAGATTTCTGAAGGAAAGGAAGTTGACTGCCAGGCAACCATAATTAGTTTTTCTTTTAATTAATTCATTTTTAGTTAAGGGTGATTAAAAAAAAAACTTTCAAAACAAGAAAACAGGTGGTTATTTTAAATAGAATCTCTGGTGTTTTAATTTTAAAAAACACGCTTGATGACTAACAATTCAGCATTACGGACACACTCAATCTTTCCGTGGTTTGTTTTCCGAAGCGTTCAAATATATGCGATATTTCTAGGACTTGCAATTGTGGCGTAAAACCCGGGTTTGCATGACGTATAGAAATACAGAATTACCTACCGTTAGTTCTGTATGCCGGGCTCTTCTTACTCCACAGACAGAGGTTTAATAAGCAGAAAGCAGTAGGAACTTGCCAAGAGGAAAGCAGGGAAGGTTAAGGGCTCTGACACCTTCTCCTAGTTATTACGTAAACTTGACCTAGAACTCTCTTCCCAGCTAGAGAAATTCCCACCACCATGTAGAACGGGTGGCCAGCAGGAGCAGGGAAGCGATCGTGCCCCTGTACTCGGCACTGGTGAGGCCGCACCTCGAATACTGTGTTCAGTTTTGGGCCCCTCACTACAAGAAGGACGTCGAGGTGCTGGAGCGTGTCCAGAGAAGGGCAACGAGGCTGGTGAGGGGTCTGGAGAACAAGTCTGATGAGGAGCGGCTGAGGGAGCTGGGGTTGTTTAGCCTGGAGAAAAGGAGGCTGAGGGGAGACCTCATCGCTCTCTACAACTACCTGAAAGGAGGTTGTAGCGAGGTGGGTGTTGGTCTCTTCTCCCAAGTAACTGGCAAAAGGACGAGAGGAAATGGCCTCAAGTTGCGCCAGGGGAGGTTTAGATTGGACGTGAGGAAAACTTTCTTTACTGAAAGAGTGGTGAAACATTGGAACAGGCTGCCCAGGGAAGTGGTTGAGTCACCATCCCTGGAGGTATTTAAAAGACGGGTAGATGAGGCACTTAGGGACATGGTTTAGTGGGCATGGGGGTGTTGGGTTGACGGTTGGACTCAATGATCTTGGAGGTCTCTTCCAACCTTAATGATTCTATGATTCTATGATTCTAGAAAAAAGGACAAGATTCAGGCTAATGAGACGACTAAAAGCGGCAGGCAACTTTTCATTCAGCAGGTGAGCAGAAGAAAATGGGGAATATTCTAGAGCCGACCAAATTCCAAAACCCGAAACCCACAGTCAAGAAAAATACGGGGGGGGGGGGGGGGGGGACACTTGATTCCCCCCTATGCCTTTCGCTGCCAGGCCTTCTTGGAGGAAGGCAAGTTTCTACGCATTCGCAGGTGAGGGCAGCGTCACAAACCAGCCCCAGGAGGACACGCAGGCACTGCTGAGCTGCACCGGTGACTCCCGACCAGTCCTCAGTGCCGGGCAAGCAAAGCAAGACCCGTCCTCACGTCCTCCTTCTCACGGCTGAGTTTCCTCTGGTGTTTGTTGTGCTGTCCTACGTCTGGACGTAGGTGCCTAGTGCTCTTCCCGTGTCCGTTTGACTACTGAAAAAGTCACATAATTCGCACGTCACAGGCTTAATCATGATCCGCTATCAAGTGCTCTGAATCTGTTTACGTGGATGATTTTTAATAGTACTTAAACAGAAAGAAAAAGCGTCTTCACACTCCTGCTGTTTGACATTTTCCACGCTGCTATGCATTTGCTGAACATCCTCAAGTGAGTGACCTCGGACAGCAGTCTGACAGCCTGCGGCAACGGGCAGCGACAAGAGGACCGGGGACCAGTGCCGCGCCCCGGCTGTATTACGCCTATAGAGCGACGTGTTACAGCGTGAGCAGCTCTGGAACTGGTGTGTAGTATGATCCAGTGCTCTACGGCAGCTAACGATGGCCTTTCCCAGCAGAACGATGCTCCCTACAGACAGAGGATTGTTCTTTAGCCTTCAGGAGCCGCCTGTCCAGGCCTTCCCAGGCGTCAGTGGCCACAACGGACACGGCAGCTGGAGAGACATTCGGCCCTCGGCTCTCTAATGTTCTCTGTTTGAGCAGTCCCACAGGCAGCCTGCCGTTCCGGCCTGCACCCCTGCTTGGCAAGGAGAGCTTGACAACTACGTGGGGTGGACTTTAAGGAAACCTAAAGGTAGAGACTGACACACTCTTCACTTCTACCATCTAGCCAAAGACTCCTCAGCTGATGTGAACAGAGCCCCACAAGCTGCGTTTCCATAAGCTATTTTATTGAGTTTCCTCTACCTGCCTCAATTTACCCAGAACAGAAACACTTTATTGATTCTTCTGCTGTCCTGAGTTCAGCTCTGTGCGAGCCAGCAGACAGACAGACAGACAGACAGACAGACAACCGTATGCTTTATTACCAAAGGGCACAGGAAAAGGTAAACGGTTACAGTTTTCCTGATCGTTAGAGCATCACCAGAGCAAGCCTGAAGTAGATTCACCCCCGAGAGCGCGCTGGTATGCAGGTGGCGTTGTAAATTATATCACGTTTCACCAAAAAGGTGGTGAAGGTGCTACCTCAGACAGAGCCACCTTAGTCAAGCCCTTGACTTGGAGAACCGCTCGTTGTACGTATGAAAGCCAAACTGCTCATCCCCGTGGACGAAATTCTCCCTCCGTGCAAGAAGCTGAATGAGCCGCACATGGCCCCCGGAGCACAGATGGGTATTTCCACCTGACAAGCAGATTAACACCGTTCTGTCCGTGACTCCCCTCACCGCTCTGCTGACTGATGTCAGGAACAGTCGGCCACTAACCAACACAGAGCAGGACAGCTTGTCCGAGTTAATAGCTAGTGTTATTTTTAAAAGGGAGGAAAATAACCATTTTCGCCTAATAACAGCCATTATTTTCTTCCCGTATTTGTTAATTTTGAGTGAGGAAGTTAAGTCCAGTTCTCCACGTTAACAGCTTGACTTTCAGGTTCTCAGATACTGAGGTATTTTATATTTGTTTAAAATAAGTGTTTGCAGGGGACTGTGGAAACATTTATATTGGCCTCCAGTTTTCTATTAAATTGATTTTTATATCATTTATAACTGGATTAAAAACAGGTCAAATACCTATTGAGAGCTACTTTCAGTTGCACCCAGGGTGTGCTCTTACCGCTGCACGTGTGCCGCTCGCCCTAATGCAGGGTTATATAAGAACTGTGTTTTCTTTAAAAGAAGAATAATAATAATTTAAAAACCCGGTTTCACAATATATTCTCAGTTAGGTCATCTGTATTCTGTTCTAACTATTTGTTTATAGATACAATAGTTCAAGTCATCCTAATACAAACCTAACACAAATGCTTAAAAAAAGACTCTCTGTATGTCAAAATGACGGATGCTGCTGGCAAACTCACCCAGCGGGTACAGCGAGCCAGGCAGCAAGTGCTGGGCAAGATGGGCATCACCCATCTCAGGAGGGGATAAACTCCATTTACCTTTGTTTTCCCTCAGGGATGACGCTGGTACAATACATCGTTCTAACATGCACGACAATCTTAAACTCAAAAATTGTTCTGTGTTTTTAATTCCTACAGATTTTAACAGCAGCTTACACAGCCCATAACAATATGCCATAACATTACCTCTCAAGTTCCTTAAAATAAACAAACTCAATGGTGCTGCAAAGAAGTTAATGGACAGTATCTTCATTGCTCTATGGATTTAGTGAGGTGTGTTCCCTGCGCCCCCGCCTGAGAAACGGCTCTGCCCTGTGTTCGGGCCTCCCTGAAGGGCAGCCGAGTCAGCAAAGTGGCAGCGCACGGTTATTTTGCGCTTCTATATGATTTACACGGAGCGTCATCTCTCCACGCCAATTCATGAAGGTGAGGTTTATTTTTTAGACAGGCAGGCTACCGCCTTTCCCACCCCAAATCTGACCGATGATTAATAGTCGTTTTAGAATTACTGCGTAGTTCAAAAGTTTGTATTTAATTATTTATCTGCTTTTATTTGCCAGGAAATTATGGCTTTGAGCCTGCAATAAACTCAAATGAACTACGCAATTCATTTCCCAGGGCTTCTGTGTGGCCACGAGGATTGCAAGAGTTCAGACAGCACACTGGTATTTTTTGAAACCTCTCTCCCTCTTCTCGTGCCATTTTCCGCTACGATCCCTGCAGTACCTTTATAAAGAAAATAAAATAGATGGATAGAGCAAAGCAAGGATTAGAGCAAAATAAGGAACAGAGAAAAACAGACCAAATCAATGAGTCAAATGTGGCACTTCATGGCACAGTTAGGACTTTCCAAAATGTTAATGTTTATGCTGAGCAAGTGAATAGCCTTTACATTTTTTTTTTTAGCATGAAGCTGTATGTTATCAAAGAGCCCATCTAACGCATTGTGTTGCAAAATAGGCAGATTTAAGACATAATGACGATGCCATTATTCCTCCTAACGTGAAAGATGAGGTGTAAGTTCTTCTAAGTTTAATAAGAACATCTGCTGATCTCGTCTCTACGTGATGCTGCTTGTTGTACTTAGCTCTTTGATCCTGTTTTTCTTACGAATTGAAGAAGTGATGAGAGCATGTAACCCTAACACAAAAACCTCCCCTCCTGCAGCCGGCATTACGTGACTAGGTTCATTTTACAAACAAGAGTAAGAACCAGCGCTGCGGTTTGAGGAACGCGTCCATTCGTCTGCCTGGTTCTGGTGACTCCGAACACACCGCTGTCATCAACAGTCAACAGTCAGAAGTACGCCTGCTATGGCATTAACTTGAACTAAGAACACTACGCGCAAAGGTAAACCATATAAGTAAGTAATATAGAGACCGTGTCACACAGGGATGAAAAGGAAACACCTGAAGAGTCAACACCTATGCTCCAAGCAGCCTTCATCCTCCACCCTCTTCATGAGAAGTCTCCTATTCAGCACACTGGCACTTCATTTTTAAGTACTTGTGAGTAAGGAGCATACACCATGGACTTCCCGAGAGCTGTCACCACACAGGCTCACGGAGCTCCAAGCCCGTTTAAGGAGTCAGAGGGACCAGGAGCTTTCCACATGCCCAAGGTGACTGAGGTAGGTGACATCCGGCCTTTCAATCCTGACTGGTCTGCGGGAATGCTAGGGGATCACTAGAAAATACGCAATGCGATCTGGATAAGAGAGGTCCATCAATGGAAACAATGGGTGGACAAGGAGCGTGGACCATACAAGAGAGGCAGCCACGTGCACTGTGAGTGTCGTCCCATACAGTCATATGTAGTTGCTCAGTATAATCTCGCTCTTCGCTCTGCTACCTCCCCTGTAAACGTCCGAAAAAGCCAGTTTAAGCTGCATCGTCCTTCTGGGCAGAATTACTTGCACTGGTTTTTTTCTTGTAATAAGTACTGCCGGACAGACGCTGAACACTAGCCACCGGTACATGTGTGTTACGGAGAGTTACAGCCAGCGTGGGATTGCTTTTAGAGCTCCTAACAGAATTTTGCTCTTACCCTCATGCCTTGTAAAATGCCACACCAGAAGAACATTGATATACTAACAGTTTTCACTATTTGATAAATGTGTATGTCAAAAATTTCCTTCTCATCTGTCAGTCCAACACAACAAAAAAGAATTCGGGCGATACCACGGTGAAAAGAAGCTGCACAGTTACTGCTTCCAGTTCCTAAGAGGAAGCCAGAAAAATCATTGACTCTCTAAGCCGCCTGCACAGGAAGACACCTAAGACTGCAGAACACAGATTTCGGGACCGAGTCCTCTGTTCTTTTTCCTTCTCTTCCCTGACAACAGCAAAGAGACCGCGTTTGAAACCTTTATTTCTCACGGCTCTGCTTAGGCAGTAGGCATCCTGCATTAGAAAGGATTTAGGAAGAATCATCGAGACCTCTCAGTTACAACATACCTACAAAAAAAAAAGCAACGGATCTCACTTTGGGTACCAAACTCCAAGGTCGGAAGTTCAGATTCAGGTGTCAAAATTCAGTATTCCCAAAACACCAGGTAGCATTCATCTGACAGTATTATTTGTTTGATAATTTAGAATAAAGAAATTATTAGGTAAACGTTCAAAATTGGGACTCAGTAAGTTTTGTAGAGCAACTAATTCATATTTAACAACAGATAGTTTAGACGATAACAGTCAGATTGGTGTGAGACCCTGAATTTCCAGATAGGCTCTGAGCACAAGTGTTTTGGCTGAGCACATAATTAGCCAAGGTCCCAGTCCTGGGTTTATTGACCTGACTAGCTATTGATTTAAATGAAGGCAGGACCAGCGTGTGATACAATCGTTTCCCTATTTAACTGTCAATCTGCTCCCTGTTCACATGCTTGTTGAGGAAAAGCACACATTCAAATGAACGTGAGGTCTTTCACCCGGATGCATGTACACATTCCCAAAATTCTGCAAGGGAAGATAAAATTTAAAACATTATTTTAAATCTGAAAAATAAACCAAACATGACATAATTCTACCCATCTCTCATCCTGTATACCATAAATACCAAGATCCGAAGCCATATTTTAAATTTTTCTTTAAATAATTAAAACACCACGTGCTTTATTGCTTTCAGGAGGAGAATGGGGGATTACCAAATTCATTAGCAGGTAGGAATCAGCATCGTTTGTTAGAACTTACGGTACGCTTTTGGTTTTACTTCCTTAGCAGGGATTTGGCCCGTTTTCAAGATATACTGACAACTGATTGTGTAATCAAACAGTAAGTTTGCAAAACGATGTATGTGATAGCCAAAATCACTAAGCTCCACCAAGTGGCATAAGAGAGAAGGTGTTACCATAACGTCCGTGCGTTGGAATGGTTTCAAAGGCGATTGCAATCTCCCTTCAGCCTGCCGTAATTAAGTATGGGGCTACTTTTGTTCTCCAACTCATACATGGAAGATGAGCAGGGCATTGGGGGAAAGATGCCCTGCAATATAATTATTATTCGTATAATAATAACAACAATAATAATATATCAATATTATAATTACAATAATAATATTCAGCTTGTGATCCTGCAGTACAAGTTTACTCATCCATCCCACTGGTTACGAGGTTAATTGTGCAAGTGTCACACTCCTGTGTAGCTATTTGTAGAACCACTGCCTCTGTGAACGCACGCGTCTGGGACATAAGCGTCTGGTGTTACCCATTTCTATGCTGGCAGTGTATCAGCCAGGACACAGATGGTGTTACCAGCACAGAAAACAAAGATGGCTCCTGCCCTGAAAGGTTTCCAGCTGCTAAATTAACCCATATTCCTTTATGAAAACACTAGGAAAAGTAGATAGAATGCCAGAGAAGCTAACAAAGACGATGGCATAGCACAAGCGCTAACCGACAGTCTTGATCCTCAAGGGAGGAACACCTTCAGAAGCCCTACTCTGTCCCACAGATTGCCTGTTCCACTCTGGTTTTACTAGACGGGTCTTAAGTTATGATTAGGTTGGGTCCAAAAGCTTGTCTGCTTTTTTCCAGCTGTATCAGCTGATGTGATAAAGGCTATCACCTTCCCCTAGGAAAAAAAACCCAAACTTCATTGCGCAGAACTCCAAGGATGTTACTTCTAGGTTCATTTAACAACACGTTTACTATCAGTCCTAACACGGTGTTTTCCCCTCTCGGTGAACCGTTCAGAAGTGCGGTGCTCCCCCAGAAGAGAATTCCCCGCGTCCCGCAGGTGCCAGACAGAAAGGCAGATCTCCCTGTTCTCGTTGCCACATGTGAAGAGATTGAGGCTGAACGTACTATGGGAAAGCTCCCGATACCCTGGGACATGTCACACAGTGATATTAGTAATACAAGTCTGTTAAAACTACCCATAATACTCTTAGCAGTAGTGCTTCTTTTTGCTTGTTTGTTTGTTTGTTTTTTTTAAGGGGACCATTACATGTTATATAACAAGTTTTAAATTCTGAATTTAGCATGGCAAACAAGTCAGATAGCCCTTCGGTGTGCCCAGGGCGCAGGGGGGGAGAGCACACCGGGGGAATAAAAGCAGTAACTTTGGTTTACCGTGCCATTCCCCAGGCGACTGAGCCGGCGCGATGGAGAGCATGGCAGCAGTACGAGGGAGGTGCTGAAGTCGCCACTGCAACCGTCAGGCATCTCAGGGTGCTGGCTTAGCCATCGCCTCAGCCAGGGAGTGTTAGGATGGCAGCTACCCTCAAGCCAGGGAGAGAAGGAAGGAAAAACTGAGGAAAAAAACCCAAACAAAGAAAAAAGAGTGAACAAAATGCAGGGTAAAGCACACAAGAAAAATAGGTAATACCATCTTAAAGTATTAGGGTTAGGAACTACTAGAACCGGATTTGGATGTCTCATTTGAGCAGAGAATCCCATAAATAGCTCTACCCTTTTCTAAAGATTTCTCTGCTCAGGAAGCAGGTCTTTAACGTCAGAAAAAAATATTAGAAACCTGTTAGAAACCGGCCTCAAGAGATTTGATGCTTGGGGATTTTTAAAGGAGTTTATGTGAGCTATCGAGGCTTGTATACAGAACTTGTATAAAATGAGAAAACTGAAAGCCAGAAAGCCTGTGGATGAGAATGCAATAACCTGAAGGAATTTGATTAGCTGTCCCCCTCTCCGGCTAGCAGTCTGTTGAATCTTGCCATAAGCCAAAGTTATCGTCCGCGTTGGGCCAACTAAACCTTTTCCGAGACATATTTCAATTCTTATTCCATATAACATCTTCTCACGTCATCTTTGTTTATCAGTCTCTTATTAGTCAGACCAGAATGACTAAAGCTCAGTTAAACCCTGTAAGCTATCTAAAAATAATGTTAGATTTTAATCTTGGCCCAAGACAATTTGAGGTTTTTTTCTCCCTGTCACATATTACTTGTCTAAGTAACATCAGGACTGACATTAAAAGAACTTCCCCAGCACGGAGGAAAAGCCATTACTATGTTCCCGAGGTTTAAAGATGAATGCCTTTTAATATAAAAGTTTCCTAGCAACATGTGTTCTTAGCCTAGAATGTATTCCAAAAACGGTGATGCTTTCAGCATTGTATCTATGGCTCTGTTTGAACTCGTCGCTATGCTCTGTTGTCATCCTTGCCTTCACAACCCAGAGTATCACAGAACAGCAGTCGTCTTTTCCTAGGTTCAGCTTCTCACCGTCTCCCACTTTGGTCTTACACATGTAAATATCTACCCACCCTTGTCTAGTAACGTGTATTTTCTGCCTTTCTCCATCGTTCTGTGGAAGCATCTCCTTTTTTCTCACTGAATATCAGTCTCCTGAATATTTCTGGATCTCATGTTACTTAGACTGCACACGCTCCAAACCAGGGAGTTATTTTATCTGTTTGCAGAGCTGCGGGCGGCTGAAGAATGCTCCCGGACCAGCACCGTCACTCATCTGCCTGCAGCACCACGTTTTGCAGCGTTGCTTATGGCCAGCGAGAGCACCTTCCACAACAGGAGCGACGTCCCGCACAGAGAGAAATGAACACAGAAAAAGTCTTATCAAACCAGATTCTTAATTCGCTTGGGGAAGCAGCAAAGGAAAGGAAGATGGGACCAACAGAATTTCCTAGGATGCAATTTCCTCATGACCGTGAAACGACAGAGAAATTGGTCATGGCCAGGGACGAGCCAAAAAGAAAAAAGATACCGGCTACACATCTGTTTTTCGCTCTTTATTCACCCTATGACAGCGCAAACGTATGTAACACCGTCTTGTGTTGTTGTGTGACACCATGTCTTCACACATTATCCTGTAGCTCCTTTGAAAGGGAAGCGTGATTGAAAGGGTTGTGCCAGGTCACTGAGTCTTGAGGAAAATCTTTTGACGTGTGGGGGCGGAGGCGCAGGTCCGTGACAAACGGTTCTTCTCCGTCCCAGGAGCAGCCCCCATCCGGGCCACCGCACCCTCCATCCCAGGCCATTCCCCTGTCACCAGCAGGGCTTTCTAAAAGCTGAGAGAAACGACAGGGGAGGGCACGGGTAGGGAGAAGTGATTCTGGGGAATTGGTTGAGAGGAAAAAAAATCCCACCCCTGACTATTTCTTGGAGGAATCGGGCCCAAACGCCTGGATTGTAACGTGCAGACAGATGACTGTCTCC